TTGACCTGGTGGTATAAGTTTTGGCTGACAATTTGAAGTTTTCCGGTCTCCGGAAAACTCTCAAGACACCCACGCGCTACCGGCGGCGCGTGGATCACTTTGTGGTTGCCCAATTGGTTCTAAAATACTCCCCATGTCGTCCCGAGTACAACGATATACTCAGATTTGAAGTTGGTGACTGTTCGGCTATCGAACGGGTATTACGCCTATTATGCGATATCCAGTTTCGATAGGTTTGGACCGTTCGATCGATTCCATTTTTAAATATGTCATTCCTCGTATCTCTAAGATTGTGTAAGAACTTGTTGATCGAGAATCGGAGTCCTGAATACTCTGAATTAATGATTTTAGGGTTAGGCGAATTGATCGTCGTGCGATCGAGATTAATCCGACTGTTCGATCAAGACCAAACTCTCGAGACTTGTTTAGTAGACTTTGTTGGACCTGATGGAACTTTCGTATTGTGAATTGAAGGTCGTGGACCCCCCGGGCCCAATTGACCGTTGTGGAAAGTTTGCCCGCTTGGTTGACCACGAGTCTCCCGAGATCGTTTCATACTTCGGAAAGTACTAGAATGACCCTAGGAACTTTCTAATGGTCATACACACACTTTGAATTCCGGGAAGTTAGATTAAGTTTGGTTCGGTTCGAATGTGAATAGGGATTTTTGTAGAAATGTCACCGGAACTTATACATTAGTTTCAATTTGTCACCTTAAAGAAAAATTTAGGCGAAATGTCACCTAAAGTTTTCAAAATCCATGATTTGTCACCTGACTTTAACGTCATCCAATTTTTCATCCATTTTAAAGGGTATTTTAGTCTTTCCAAAATGTAAACTTCTGTGAAGCTCTTTAAAATTTTTTTAAAAAAATAAAAATAAAAACAGAAGTCAAGAACAATACTTTTACACCTAAACAACAGTTGGACTTTAGGGTTTCAAATTTTTTTAAAGGCATATCTACGAGTTGTTAGCGACATTGGGATTGATGGCGACTCTACGCTACAGAATCACTGGGAACTCTCCGAACTACGGTAAAGCTTTGCTTTCTACTTGGGAATCTTTGAAGGTTTTGCTTTTTATATGACAATGGGAGATTTGATTCATGGGATCCTTTTTTCTTTCTTTATGTTCTTTGGCTTTATTTATATGCTATTGCTTTGTTTTTGTGCTTTAACGTGTATTGTCCTTTTGCAAGTCAATTACTTTGTTGTGTGGGAATGTGTCGGCTGCAACAATTATATTTTATATAAATGTTAATTTGAGTGTTTGTGTAGGTGATTGTGATTTATTTACCATGGAAATTCACCATGGGGGTCACTTTATAGAGCAATGTGATGGGAACTTGAAATATGTTGCTAGGCATGTGGCTTGGTATGATAATTTAAATCAAGATTTTATGTCAGAATGGGATCTTGAGGATTGTGTTGAGAGTTTAGGGTACAGCATGACGTGAAAATATTATTATAGATTGCCAAATGGAGGGGAATGTAGGAAATTGAAGAATGACTCTGATTTTTGGGCTTTAGTTACTATATTGCCCCCAAATAGAGTGGCAATTGTGTACATAGTTGATGACAACTTTGTCCTAAATATTGAGAGTCAAGTTGCAATCCATAATTGTGTGGAGTCAAGCTTCAGTCAAGAAGAACCAAAAGTTGGTGAAGGTGTGGATGCTGAGAACCTAGTTAATATGGACCTAAAGAACCTAATTGATGTAGGTGTAGAAGATGAGGATTCTGAATATGAAGATTTTGACTATGAGCAAAGTGATGCTGAGGATGATAATCTTTTTTATGACATTGTAGAGAAATGTGCCAATGTCTCAAGTAGTGCTGCAGCCTTCCCAAATTTGGAGTTTGGGGATGTTGAAACAAAGTCTGAAAATTCAAATGAATTTATGAGTGGTGGTGAAGAAGATTTTGAGGGTGAAGAAAATGGTGGTACACGAAAGAGGAAGTTGCCTAACTTCACTCAATTTAGGAGTGATATGGATATGAAGAATCCACAGTTTAGGTTAGGCATGATGTTTGCTAATAGGAGTGAGTTTAAACAGGCAGTAAGATATTATGATAATGTGAACTCATTTTAGCTACTTTTGTTTTGTATATCAATTTCCAGATAATGTCTTTTGTCAATTTCTTTCTCAAATTTGAATTAGTACCTATGATTATTTCCCTAAAAAAAATTGAAACCATAAAGTTTGAGTGTTGTTCAAGAGTAAAAGTCTTGCTTTTGGGGTTTTAACTCCTTTTTATTCACCAAAAAATAGCTTCAAAGAGGGTTTACATAGCTTTATATTTAAATTATATATATATATAAAAAGTCGAAAAAAATAGAGGGTTTACATATTGGAAAGACTAAAATACCCTTTTTAAATGAATGGAAAATTGGATGACGTTAAAGTCAGGTGACAAATCTTAGATTTTGAAAACATAAGTTGACATTTTGCTTAAATTTTTTTTTAGATGACAAATTGAAACTGATATATAAGTTCATGTGACATTTCTAAAAAAATCTTATGTTAATATTATTCTTATATTCTCTCAGTAGGTACTCAGACTCTGCATATTCCATCCATAAGAGGTTACAGATACATTCTCTTTCCTATTTTCGTTTTCATTGTTCTCCATAGCTATGCTCCATGGAGGACATATTGGAGCCAGCTGTGTTGTGAGTGTTCCTCCTGGTCTAGTTCTAGATTTGTTCTTTACTCATAGAGTTTCCTAATATGTATTGCTGAAATTATGATATGATTATAGTGTAATTAATTAGTTGGAAAATTGAACACTAAAGAACGTTTTGTTCTTCATGATAATCTTATGAACTCTATTGTTTTCTATATGTTGTGGAGTAAATTAACTAGGTTCTTTGGCAATTTGATATAGCTTTTATGAAGCTGAATTTCTCATTGCATCAAATTTATAAACACTATTGCAGAGCATCCTTTATTGCACATTTAGGTTGTTCTCATATACTTTTATCACCAGCCACTAGTGGCTAGCTGAAGTAGTGGCTAAGGTTAGAGGATTTTGTGGTCCAAGAGAAACTATGGCCGCATTGTTTTTGGATGGTGTCTTTTCATTGTCGTAATCGGTGGGTTTTTTCTGAGCTACTGATGAGCAGGGAGGAGAGAAAATGTTGAAGTCTATGCTTGGTTGCTGCAAGGTGTACATATCAGAAAGCAGAAACAGGTCTGCTCTTGAGTCTATCGAGCGAGCTGCTAAGCTTTTCTCAGACGCACCCATTGTCAATAAGTTTGAAGATGAGACTTACAACAGAGTTGGTTACACTCTCATCGCGAAGTTGGCTCCAAAGCTAACTGGGGATCCTTGCCCCTTGAGGATGACAGTGCTTGCCATGGTTAAGGCTGCTTTCGAAACCATTGACCTTGTGATGCATTGTGGAAGTCATCCTCGACTCGGAGTTGTGGACCATATATGCTTTCACCCCCTGCTTGGTGCTTCTTTGGACCAAGTGGCTGGGGTTGCAAACTCTTTGGGGGCAGATGTTGGCTCTAATCTTCAAGGTTTGCTCCCTTGACTGTGAGACCACATTAGATTGTCGATAGTAGTAGAATGCTGATCAAATATGCTTTTAAAGTTGATTAACTGAAAGTAGAAAATCATCTGGCTATGTTAAGCTATGTGATTATTAGCAACAGTCAAATTCAAATTCAAATTGTATGGATGGAAATCAGTTTATATTGTACATGGATTGCTGATAATCTCAAATGTAGCCTGCAGTTCCTACTTTTCTCTATGGAGCTGCCCATGAAGAGGGCAGGACACTTGATTCAATCCGAAGAGAGCTAGGTTATTTCAAGCCAACTTCTCGTGGAGAACAGTGGGTTGGGGGGCCCAAATCGGAATGCTTGGCGCTGAAGCTGGACAAGGGACCCCCTCATGTGACTCAGGGAAAAGGTGTCATTGTGATTGGAGCAACCCGGTGGGTTGATAACTATAACGTCCCAGTTTTTTATACTGATATTGCTGATGTTCGTAGAATTTCGAAATGAGTGAGTGGCAGAGGAGGTGGACTTCCTTCAGTCCAAGCCATGGCACTTGCACACGGTGAATCTGTCATCGAGGTAGCTTGCAATTTGTTGGAACCGGAGAAAGTGGGAGGAGATAGGGTTCAGCTTGAAGTTGAGAGGCTTTCAAAGGAAGAGGGTATGAGAGTGGGGAAGGGCTACTTCACTGATTTTTCTCAGGAAAAATTAATTGAAAGTTACTTGCAGTCAGGTTGCTGTATGTAAACTTGTTCTTTCATGTATCCTTGTGAGGCTACTGATTCTTGAATTGTCCAATGTATGAAATGTGGATGGTTCTT